CACACACAAACACACACACACACACATGAACGCATGATGCTCTTCATTTAGACATTAACAAGAGTACTCTATCCCTTTCATTTCAAACACTGATTAAACTCCTCCTTTCAATGGACAGTCAATAGTATCTTTAGAATGTGTCCTTTTCTCTTCTCGAATAATGTAAAAAAAATTGCTTCTGTGTTTTCAGGAGTTTTCCATTTAAGATAATGAGAATCCCTCTTCCTCTCTCTTTATTTTCTTTCTTTATTTCATCTCTTTCTTCATCTCTCTTTTCCTCCCTTCTCCTTCTTTTCCTTTGTTTGTGAGTATTCATACATTCCTATGCGTGTTTTTATTTCTGTCAAGTTTATTTGACTCTTTCATTCATCTCTCCTTTTATTTCTTCTCCTTCTTCCTCTCTTTTCTTCTTGCTCTTCCTGTTACTTTTTTTTATTATTTATTTATTTATTTATCTATTTTTACGCATTTCTTTCCTCTTTGTCTTAACGCTTATCTCAAATACCAGATCATTAACATTAACAAGAATTCGAACCTTATGATATATCTAACTCATTATATACATTAAACATCCCATAACGATTATATAAGAACGAAATTAATAGACTATAATAACATGTCTTAGAGTATACTGTATGCTATGTATGTTAGTATGACGAACGTCGATATATCCAACCAGGATAAAAAGAAGAAAAATCTATCAGGAAAAATATACTACATATACCATAAACTATTTTTTCTATAACCCTTTGTAATTTTTTTTTGAAGGGGGGAGGGGGGTGGGGAGGGAGGGGCCGTACGTGAACTATTCCATTGCCATTTTTCAGTAGAAATGGACAATAAAATTTTACGCTTCCATATTTTTTCGTTTCGTGCAGTAAAATGTGTAATTTGGTTTGTCGTAAAACACTAATCAAGTTGACCTATTTCAGCAATTCCGATAAAAGCTATTGGGTTTCAATTATTTTAACACAATAAAAAAAAAAAAAAATCATGCCGATTTCCATAGCGGCTAATTCAACATCAGTTACGAATATCATTTTGAATTTAGCTGATTATTAAAAAATAATAACGCCAGCAACAGTGAAAACAAAGGCATTATCAACATTACGAATACCGTAAAAGATAGATCGACAGATAGATTTAGAAAGATAGATAGATAAAAAGATAGATAGATCAATAGATAGATAGATCAATAGACAGATAGATAAAGATAGATAGAAAAAAGATAGATTGATAGCGATGAAAAGACAGACATAGAGATAGATAGATCGATAGTTAGATATACAGACAGATAGCTAGCTAGATAGAGATAGATAGATAGATAGCAAGATAGATAGATAGATTGATTGATAGATAGATAGATAGATAGATAGATAGATAGATAGGTAGATAGATAGATAGATAGATAGATAGATAGATAGATAGATATATATAGAGAGAGAAGAAAATAGCTTTGTACCTTTTTAAGTTAACAGACCACTTACATTTACTTTTAACTTTTAAGAATTTTAGCTTTTAAGAATTATATTAATCAGAACCCAAAAGACTTTTATCCTAATCAAAACCCATATTATAAAAGACATAAAAAACAAATGTTCACTAGATTAAAAAAAAGGGGGAGCGGACAGTAGAGACAAATGATTGAGTAATTTGCAAATGCTAATATACGAAATATACACTTATTTTATACAGACAGATTGTTAAAAGGAGAACTGTTTATTACACTTGCTTAGCATCAGTGTGTCTGTGTGTGTGTCTTTTTCTGTCTGTCTGGGCTTGCTTGTCTGTCTGCCACTATTAATAATGATAGTAATATTAATAACAAAAAATAAGAACTATAACAAAAATAATGATAATAATTATATATATGACAATAACTGTGTTTATCTCTCGATCTCTCAACAATAATAATGAAAATAGGCGTAATAATAAGAACAGTAATAATGACAGCTATAATGATAATGATAATAGTAGTATTATTTTTGACAACAATGATGATAATGATAATGACACTACTACCGCTACTAGTACTACTACTACAACCGATAACAATAATAATGATAATAATAATAATCTTACTTCTACTACTAAGGATAATGATAATAAAGACAATGAAATAATAATAACTAAAAATCATAATAACAAATAGGATAACAGTAACAATATGATAATAACGAAAACAGCAAACAGTAATAAGAAAATACCAACACAAATAAAGCAATTCAACAAGAAGAAGAGGATGATGAAGAAGAAGAGGAGGAGGAGGAGGAGGAGGAGAATGAGACAGAGGAAGAGGAGGAGAAGGAGAATGAGGAGGATGAGGAGGGGCAGGAAGAGGAGGAGAAGAATGAGGAAAAAGAGGAGGAGAATGAGGAAGACGAAGAGAAAGAGGAGGATGAAGAGGAGGAGGAGGAAGAGGAGAATGAGACGGAGGAGGAGGAGGAGGAGGAGGGGCAGGAAGAGGAGGAGGAGAATGAGGAAGAGGAAGAAGGGGAGGAGGAGAATGAGGAAGAGGAAGAGGAGAAGGAGGAGGAGGAGGGGCAGGAAGAGGAGGAGAATGAGGAAGACGAAGAGGAAGAGGAGGATGAAGAAGAGGAAGAGGAGGAGGAGGAAGAGGAGAATGAGACAGAAGAAGAGGAGGAGGAGGAGGAGGAGGAGGAGGGGCAGGAAGAGGAGGAGGAGAATGAGGAGGAAGAAGAGGAGGAAGAGGAGGAGGAGGAAGAGGAAGAGGAAGAGGAGGAGGAGGAGGAGGAGGAGGAGGAAGAAGAAGAAGAGGAGGAAGAGGAGGAAGAGGAGGAGGAGGAGAAGCAGGAGGAGAAGAAGAAGAAGAAGAAGAATATGAAGAAAAAAAAAAAAGAAAAGGAAAAAAAAAAAGAAGAAGAAACAGAAACAGAAAAAGAAAAAGAAAAAGAAAAAGAAAAAGAAAAAGAAAAAGAAGAAAAGAAAAAAAAGAAAGAAAAGAAAAAGAAAAAGAAAAGAAAAAGGAAAAGAAAAAGAAAAAGAAAAAGAAAAATAAAAAGAAAAAGAAGAAGAAGAAGAAAAAGAAAAAGAAAAAGAAAAAGAAAATGAAAAAGAAAAAGAAAAAGAAGAAAGAAAAAGAAAAAAAGTGAAAAAAGCAAAAGAAGGAGAAGAGAAGGAGAAGAAGAAAAAAGAAGAAGAGAGCCTCGGGGAATGAAACGAGGTCAAAGGGTACACCTGAAAACCCTGCAAGGTCAAAGTGTTCCTTAAAACTCCAAAAGACTCTAATACCACTTCCTCAGAGTGGCGGGGACGTCGAGTGGGCTGGGAGTTAATATCTTATAAAATTTCTCTTACACTATTTCTTTCTTTTCATTAATAAATAAAAAGTGATCTATAAATTTGTAATGCGTGTGTGAAGGTATTGGCGTTAAATTGATAAACCTTGGAGGCATGTTTAATGTATTTATTCGAGTGAAGAAAAGATATATATATATATATATATATATATATATATATATATATATATATATATATATATATATATATATATATATATTTTTTTTTTTTTTATAAATCATTTTCAACTGCAAAGCAACGCTGTGAAAATATTAACATATATTTTGTAATGTTGATGACTATCTATCGGATATGTTATACAGAATACTAAGTATATGATAAAAGTAGATGTCAGTGACATTTACTGACATCATAAAATATCAAAATCAATGGAAAACGCCTAAAAAAAAGGGAACAGAAAAATCTTACATAACTTACAAAATAAAAAAGTACTTTCAACATATATATCCTTTCTATCCTTTTATGTCCACGAGGAAGGGTAATAACGGGACACGAAGGAGAGTAATAAAGAATGGAAGGATAGGAAAGAAAGAACTGAAAATATTTTTTTTCTTCTTTTTTTTTCTAACGAGTTATATACGTAAGTACTGCTGCAGTGGTGTTCAGTATGACTCGTGCCCCAGGCCGGGTTTCGGGGAATAACTAAGTCTTTCTCTTTCGTATATGATTTCCTCTTCTTTATTCTTTCTTTCTTTCTTACTTCTCTCTCGCTCGCAGTCTCTCTTTCTCTTCTTTGTTTTCTTTCATCCTCTCTGTCTGTTTGTTTTTTATTTTTTCTGTCTTTCTATCTGTTTCTCTTCTCTCTATCTCTTTTTTTTCTTATTTCTTCTTTCTTTCTCTCTCTCTTGGTCTCTTTCTCTAATTTATTTTCTTTCTCTTTCTTGCTTTTTATACTCCCTCCCTTTCTCTCTTTCTCCCTTTCCTTCTCTCTCTCTCTCTCTCCCTCTGTTTTCCCTGTCACCTATCCATTCACACACGAATACACTTGCACACACACACACACACATACATACACACACACACACACACACACACACACACACACTCACACACTCACACACTCACACACACACTGACACACACACACACACAGACACACATACACACACACAGACACACACACACACACACACACACACACACACACACACACACACACACACACACACGCACCCATGAATAAATATTTTCTTTTCAGAATTAGCATAACACTGTATTCACTTCCTACTAACGACAGTCAACAGCAATAATTTCGGAACCTGGATCCCTTTTTTTCAACTCGAGAAGACTTTAATATGGATATATTCTAAAAAAAAAAACACGAAAAAAAACAAAAAAACTTGCCTTTATTTCTGCAACGACATTTAACTTGTATATATTCCTGAAAAGATTTGCCTTCAATTTATTCCTAAAAAATACTTCACCTTGTATCTATTCTGAAAAAAAAATGCCGTAAACTGTATATATTACACACTTTTTGCTTGCATTTTCTC